CCTGTGGCATCTGTGTCCCCAGAGCACCACTGTTCTCCCCCCCCCCCACTTCCCCAGATAGATGTAATCGAGGCCATTAGAGGCAAGGCAAGGACAATAAACTCTTGGGAGGTCAATGGACACTGGTGGGAGCGTTTCAAAGCAAAGCACCTCATTTGGATATTGTGGGTACGTAGGGACAAAGCACCTTCACATGAGTCAAACTGCCCTGAAAGAAATACAATGTACTTCTAAGTCAATGGCTTTAAAATCCAGATTCCAGTCTACAAATGGAGGGGCACAAGGTGTATTGCCAGGGGGGGGGGGATACAGCATGTACACTGTGTATCTGCTCATAGACTTGATGGATACATGAAACATAGAAATTGAGGCCTTGGCAAATTCAGAGAACCATACGAATCGGAGGAGATGCCAAGGCTGTCATGGTGTTCAAAGGCAGAACTCTCTCCCTAACAATTTCCTATAGGACGGCGTATAATCCAAACCATAGTCATTATTGATATGCCACTACTGTAGTTGTATTGGCAGTGGCGCCCCATCTGTGGAACGCCTCCCCATCAGATGCCGAGGAGATAAAGAGCTACATAATAATAATAATAATAATTTATTATTTATACCCCGGAATCTGGCTGAGTTTCCCCAGCCACTCTGGGCGGCTCCCAATCAGTGTTAAAAACAGTACAGCGTTACATATTAAAAACTTCCCTGAACAGGGCTGCCTTAAGATGTCTTCTGAATATCAGGTAATTATTTATCTCTTTGACATCTAATGGGAGGGCGTTCCACAGGGCGGGCGCCACTACTGAGAAGGCCCTCTGTCTGGTTCCCTGTAGCCTTACTTCTTGCAATGAGGGAACCGCCAGAAGGCCCTCGGCGCTGGATCTCAGTGTCCGGGCTGAATGATGGGGGTGGAGACGCTCCTTCAGGTATAAAGGACCGAGGCCGTTTAGGGCTTTAAAGGTCAGCACCAACACTTTGAATCGTGCTCGGAAACGTACTGGGAGCCAATGCCGATCTCTCAGAACCAGTGTTATGTTGTCCCGGCGGCCACTCCCAGTCACCAGTCTAGCTGCCGCATTCTGGATTAATTGCAGTTTCCGGGTCACCTTCAAAGGTAGCCCCACGTAGAGTGCGTTGCAGTAGTCCAAGTGGGAGATAACTAGAGCATGCACCACTCTGGCAAGACAGTCTGCGGGCAGGTAGGGTCTTAGCCTGCGTACCAGGTGGAGCTGGTAGACAGCTGCCCTGGATACAGAATTAACCTGTGCCTCCATGGACAGCTGTGAGTCCAAAATGACTCCCAGGCTGCGCACCTGGTCCTTCAGGGGCACAGTTACCCCATTCAGGACCAGGGAATCCCCCACACCAGCCTGCCCCCTGTCTCCCAAAAACAGTACTTCTGTCTTGTCAGGATTCAACCTCAGTCTGTTAGCCGCCATCCATCCTCCAACCACCTCCAGGCACTCACACAGGACCTTCACCGCCTTCACTGGTTCTGATTTAAAGGAGAGGTAGAGCTGGGTGTCATCTGCGTACTGATGAACACCCAGTCCAAACCCCCTGATGATCTCTCCCAGTGGCTTCATATAGATATTAAAAAGCATGGGGGAGAGGACAGAACCCTGAGGCACCCCACAAGTGAGAGCCCAGGGGTCTGAACACTCATCCCCCACCACCACTTTCTGGACACGGCCCAGGAGGAAGGAGCGGAACCACTGTATGACAGTGCCCCCAGCTCCCAACCCCTCTAGACGGTCCAGAAGGATGTTATGGTCGATGGTGTCAAAGGCCGCTGAGAGATCCAGCAGAACTAGGAAACAGCTCTCACCTTTGTCCCTAGCCCACCGGAGATCATCAACCAGTGCGACCAAGGCAGTTTCAGTCCCATGGTGAGACCTGAATCCCGATTGGAAGGGATCCAAATGGTCCGTTTCCTCCAGGCGTGCTTGGAGTTGTTCAGCAACCACCCGCTCAATCACCTTGCCCAAGAATGGCAGATTTGAGACTGGGCGATAGTTGGCCAAATTGGCCGGGTCTAAAGATGTTTTTTTAAGAAGCGGTTTAATGACCGCCTCTTTCAGCGGGTCTGGGAAGGCTCCCTCACAGAGGGAAGCATTCACCACCCCGCAGAGCCCATCGCCCAGCCCTTCCCGGCTCGCTTTTATCAGCCAGGATGGGCAAGGATCAAGGAGACAGGTGGTCGGTTTCACTTTTCCAAGCAGCCTGTCCACATCCTCGGAGGTAACAGATTGGAATTGATCCCATGTAACAGGACCAGACAGAACTCTAGCACTCTCCCGCCCTGGCCCTGCTCCCACGGTGGAGTCTACCTCCTTCTGAATCTGAGCGATTTTATCTGCAAAAAACTTTGCAAAAGCATTGCAGGAGATCTTGGGGTCCCTACCAGGCCCCGGTGGTACAGGTGGTTCCGATAGATTGCGAACCACCTGAAAAAGTCTCCTGCTGCTGTTTTCTGCAGATGCAATGGAGGCGGCGAAGAAGGCCCTCTTCGCCGTCGCCATTGCCACTTGGTAGGCTCGACGCTGAGCTCTAACCCGTGTCCGGTCTGATTCAGAATGAGTTTTCCGCCACCGGCGCTCTAGCCGTCTCAACGATTGTTTCATCACCCTCAGCTCTGGGGAAAACCACGGGGCTGTCCGGGCTCCATGCAATCGGAGAGGGCGCTTTGGAGCCAGACAGTCAATAGCCCTGGTTAACTCCGCATTCCAGCGTGCCACCAGGGAATCAGCTGAAAGGCCATCAACTTGGGATAAAGCATCCCCTACCACTCTCTGGAAACCAATTGGATCCATTAAGTGGCGGGGGCGGACCATCCGAATTGGTCCCACCTCCCTGCAGAGGGGAAGGGTTGCGGAGAAGTCCAGTTGCACCAGGAAGTGATCTGACCATGACACAACTTTTAGAAGGCATCTGAAAGCAGCCCTGTTTAGAGAAGTTTTTAATGTTTGATGTGTTTTCTTAAAAAAAAAATTATATGTGTTGGAAGCCACCCGGAGTGGCTGGGGCAACCCAGCTAGATGGGAGGGATATGATCATCATCATCATCATCATCATCATCATTATTATCATCATTATTATCATCCCCAGCCACTCTGGGCAGCTCCCAACAGAATATTAAAAACATCAAACATTAAAAACTTCCCTAAACAGGGTTGCCTTCAGATGACTTCTAAAAGTAAGACAGGTGTTTATTTCCTTGACATCTGATGGGAGGGCGTTCCACGAGGCGGGCGCCACTACCAAGAAGGCCCTCTGCCTGGTTCCTTGTAACCTCAATTCTCGCAGTGAGGGAACTACTAGGATTTTGTTTTTATTTTTGGTGGGCATTTTTTAAAAAAGTTATTTTTCCTCTGCTTGGTTTTGATTGTGCTCTTCTGCTTATTGTTTGGCTCTACCCATATTGGGTTGTGTGTGTTTTTAAACCAACCTTATTTTTGCTTCATGGTTTGATTGTGTTGTTACTGATCTTTGTTTGAGGTATTGTAAGCCGCCTGGAGTGGACATTTTGCCTAGGGTATGAATTTGTTTATATTTAAATTCATATCCTGGGCAACATGTCCACTCAGATTAGCCAATGTGGACCACAAGGGTGTGATATGTTGGGGTGGGGGAGGAACTCTAGCTGAAAGACTTGACCAGAAATAATGAGAACAAACTTTCCCTAGAAATGACCAGCCCCTTTGTCAGATTCAGAGAACAGCTGGTCCGAAACCACTGCCACCCTTTATTTCCCCCCCTGGCAGAGATCCTGAGCCTTTAGCAGCTGCGAGGTGGTTTGGTTGGGGAGAACTCAACACTCCGCAGGTGATACTTCCTAGTATTGCATCATCTCCATGCCAGTTAAATTCCTGCAGGCTATGCAGCTGTTCTAGTCACCAGGTCTCTGCCCAAGGAAAATAATGCAGCACTATTGATAGAAGTCATCTATTTGGATAGATCTGATATAAAGCGACAAACAAATGTGCATTTTGTTAGGATGAAATAGCTGAGAAAGAATTTGAATCCTATCCGGGCCGTCTTTAGCATATGCGCTGCTGGGGTGCAAAAATCCACCCAGGGCCCCCAAATTTAGTTTAGCTGCCCACAAGTTAACTTTTACTGATTTTTTTTGGGAGGGGGGGAAGTCAGAGTTGTTGAACTTTTTTGGGGGGGGCGGTATAGAATTAAATAAAAAGAGAACTTCGGGTATAGGGCAGTATAGAAATAAAATTAATTAATTAAAATTTTAAAAATATTTGATGCTACAGAGTAACCTAGTGATGGAAGAGGGGGGGGCAGGGACTTTCGCTCCATTGCTTTTCACTGCCACCAATCAAGAGGGACAGTAGGTATACATTTGGCGCCCCCCAGAATTTGCCGCATTGCACCCCCAGGTAAAGACGGCCCTGAATCCTATTTTTTTATATATCTTGATTTTATTCTGTGAACCACCCTGAGACCCCCGGGGTATAGGGCGGTATATAAATTCAATAAATAAAATAATGATTTTATGACATTAAATGCATCTGAACGTCTTGGCAGATTTGATCAGAGGGGGTTTGCTGAAGACGTAATTCCATGTTCATCTTGTTTTAACTAGTCTCTTGCCCAGCAGCACGCAGGCAGCGACAGCCCGTTTAAATCACATTCGGAAAATAAAAATATTTGGTTGTCACGCCTAACAGCACCGGGCGGGACTTGTTTCCCAACTACCCTTTGATAAATCCTCTTTGCATTCTAGATCAGCAAGACAGCACATTTTGCCGCTGCCTTTTTTTTTTTTTGTCCTTCGGGCCTGGCCTGGCCTGCCCTTCGCACCTCCACTATCCGGACTGAGAGAGATCTGCCTGTCTCGGCGCTGCGTGTAAAGGGCAGCAGCTTCGGGCAGGGGGCGCTTCTGGTGGATACTGGGCATGCCTGTAGGTCGCGCGCATGCTCACTGGTGGGGGTAACCATTGCAGGGAGTTGAACCCATGCGTAAAAGTAAACAATCCATAATGCAATTGAGAAGAGGCGGTGTGCGTGTCTAGGGAGTGCATGGGAGTCTCTAATACAGGACAAGCCCAGAAGGACCCCTTCTTTTTTCCCTCCTCCTGCTTTGCGTACAAAAAAACCACACGAGATGCTGCTGGAGGGCTCTAAAAATAGGTTGCCCCCCACCCCAGGCTGAAAGGTCCCGCCTGCGCAACGGCGAGCCTTAAGTTCACCCAGCCACCACCCGCGGATGTAAGAGTCCGCAGTTTGCACAGGATCTCAGCAGATCTCCGCAAGGGGGGGCAGATCCTTTCCCCCCTTGCCCCGCCCCCGTTTCTCTTTTCCTGGGTTGACCCCAGATCTGCTCTACCCGGGGAGGAGGAGGAGGACGGATCTCGGAGGGGGGAGCGGCTTCTGGGCGGCGGGGCTGCTCTCTGGATCTGTCTCGCCGCCTTCTTCTTCCTCCTCCTCCTCCTCTTCGCCTCCCCCTCCGCTCGCGCCGCTGCCTTTCCATAAACATCTGGATCAGGGGAGGGGCTTTTTTTCCGCCCCTCTCTCTCTCTTTTGGAGGGGCTCTGAGCAATTGGCAACCTCTGAATGGCTCCGGGGGAGAGGAAAGCGCGAGTAGAAGTTTAGGTTGGTATCCTTCACACTTTCCTTTAAAGAAAACAATTAACAATAACGGTGATGATTGTGATTGTTTTTGGGAGGGGTGTTGACTTGTGTGGATGTTAGCATCGGTCAGTTTACTTTTGCTGGGGAGGCGGCTCCTCCCATCTCCCCACCCCAAGAACAAAAACTAAACCAGCAGAAGGGAGAGGTGCCTCCAGTCTGGGGTTCTTCCTCTGCCACCCCCCTCCCCAAATATCTGCTGCAGATCCCGGGCCGATCTCCCGGTCCTCGCCCCTGTTGCTCCAGGCGAGCCGGGGTTGCTGCAGAGCTCATCTGGCCAAGCAGCCGCCGCTTAGCAGAGCAGGCTTTGTGGTTTGTTTGCTTTTTGGCAAGCGGGGTGTAAAAGAGGGGCGAAAGTCTCCGGCGGGGCGACCCACAGGCCGCCGCTCCCTCCGTAGCCCCTGCCTAAGTTAGAAACGTCCCCCGGGCGCCGGGAGCGGAGGAGGGGCGTCGGTAAGCAGATGTGGCTCATAAAGTAGACCCAGTTCCAGAACCCGCGTTAACCCTTGCCACTTTTTTTTTTTTAAAGAAATGGAATCAAATCCCTTCTAGCCATAGAATCGGAAGGGACCCACAAAGTTCATCAAGTCCAACGCCCTGCAGTGCTGGAATCTTAATTTCCCAACGTGGGATTCGAACCCACGACCGGGAACGATCCAGAGCCTCATGCTGATGTTCCATTGACGTCTCTGCTTTGTGTGCCTGCTTGAGAGTCCCTGTTTTCACCTAAGGCAGCTGTGGGTGTCTGGACAGGGGTGAAACTAGGCTTTATTTCCCCTGGGGCAAAGACCCAGTTTGGCACACACACACACATGCACATTTGCATATGTTGCGAGCCTCAATGGCACCCCTCTGGAGACTTCACTTGGGGCAAATAAAACCCCAACCCCTGGCTAGCCCCTCCACCCCCTGGCTCTGTTTTGTAACAGGGTTTTGATAGTGCTTTAACTACAGCTGATTTCTGTATTTGCGTTTGATAAGTGTCATATCAAGTGATGTTTTAATGTGTGTGAGAGAGAGGGTGTGTGTGTGAGAGAATGCCCCCCCCCAGCTAGAACTTCCAGGGATGTTTCCCCCTTTCAGGGGGCTGGATTAGATGACCCTTGGGGTCCCTTGCAAGTCTACAGTTCTATGATTTTAAGCAGGCGTGAATCAAATCAAACTTCCATATCTCCTCAGCTGCGCCTTAGAGTGAGCTGCAAACCACTTGGAAATGGCTTCTGCAAGCAACTTTGCCAGCTTGCCAGCTTGCTATAAAAGAGCATCACTGTCTCGGTTTCAACTTCCTCATGCTTGATTTGATTGGATTTTCTCTGTTTAGTACAAGTCACTTGAATCTCTTGGATTTTGGTGGGGGGGGGTTGGTGGTGTTTTTTTTTTTTTTTAAAGAAGGACGGAAGAGAAGAGGCGCTTATAAAATTCCCACAGTGCTCTGCTCAAGTATGTGATGCTGGCTATTACCTCCTTCCTGTGCCTATCATGAGCTAATGTTAGCAACTGCTTCGGAGCCAAATGGCTATTGAACGGCTTTCAGTTTCCTTTATGTATAAATTTAAAGTTCAACATTTCCCTCTTCTTCCCTGGCATGCGTACAGATACTCTGTTTTCTGTATTTTGTGTGATTTATGTGACAAGATCCCCAGTCGCTTTTGCTGTTCCCACTCCACCCGCTTTTGAAAACAGATCGGGAAGTATTCTCAAATGAAATGGGTCGGCTAGCCATCAGCTGACTGTTGCGGTTCCCGCATCCTTACAAAGGCTCAAGAGATGAGCAGAGTCCTGCTTCTGGAATAGTGTGCAAAGGTTTACCGTTAGCGCTTAAGACAAGAAGCATTATGTCTAAAACTGTAACGATGTAGCACAGGAACGCTGAAGAATTGTGTTCTGTACGGTGGAAACGAGTCAGATTGAAATGACAAGAGTTTGAGAAGGATAAATAGGGCGAAAGGGAGAGAGAAATATGGTGTAATTGCAGTGGTACCTCGGGTTAAGTACTTAATTCGTTCCGGAGGTCCGTACTTAACCTGAAACTGTTCTTAACCTGAAGCACCACTTCAGCTAATGGGGCCCTGCTGCTGCCGCGCCACCGGAGCACGATTTCTGTTCTCATCCTGAAGCAAAGTTCTTAACCTGAAGCACTATTTCTGGGTTAGCGGAGTCTGTAACCTGAAGCGTATGTAACCTGAAGCATATGTAACCCGAGGTACCACTGTAATCGGGAAGAGATGCTTGGTTATTCGCAAGTCGTGTTGCAACTTCCCCTTGCTCTGTTTCCCAGTTGCTGTCTGGATTCTACCCTCTTCCTTTTTGCGGCTGCTAGTTTTAGTGCCTGTTTGGAGTGGTGGTTGTGTGGTGATTTGGGCCTCACTCAGCAGAATGAGCAGGAATCTCCTCAGACGCAGCAACAGGGCCTGAATTGGCCATATTCTGAAGTAACCTGCATTCCCCCACCCCTTTGGATGGCAAACCGTAAGACTGTTCAGACTGTGAATTTACTTCAGTGCTAAGCGTATATGGCTATGGTTGGCCATAACCTGGGGGGGGGGCACCCAACATGGCGATGTTGTCCTCCAACTCCCATCAGCCCCAGCCAGCATGGATGAAGGTTAAGGATGATGGGATTTGTAGTCCAACATCTGGTCTAACTCTTCCCTTGGAAGAGAGGTGGTATGAATAAATATTGAAAGGACAGAGCAGAGGTATAGGGACTGAGGGCAGGCCTGGCCCGGCCCAGCCATTAACCTTGGTGAGGCAGTCGCCTCAGGCAGCAGGCTGAATGCAGCTGGGAGGGGCAGCTGATCCAGTCCCTCAAGAATCTTGCTGCCTCCTGCTCCTCCCTGGCCTCCTTTTTTTCTCCCTCACTTCCTTGGATCTTTCCCAGGCCTTCTCCAATCACCTCAGGCAGCTGAGGGGAAGGCAGTGAGGGGTACCATTTTTTGTTTTGCCTCAAGTGGCGAAATGTCTTGGGCCGGAGCTGAACGAGGGGGACCCAGGGATGAGGATTTTTTTTTAAAAAAAAAGTCAGGACCCTAAGTTACATCTTTATTGAGTTGGTGAGGGGTAAATTACTTGATTTTTGCATGATTTGCAAATTCTCGTGTTTATAGGAGCGTATTGTTTGTTACCCGTTCCTTTTCTCTCAAGGAGGGGTTGCTTTTCAGCTGCAGGGAAATGGCACAGAATTCTCTTTTGTTACTAACAGGTCTGAGGAACCGATGTCTCTGACTGAATTTACAATTCCCATTATCCCTGAGCATTGGCCATGTTGGATAGAACTGCTGAGAATTCCGCTTTGAGAATATATGTTGAAAACATTTAAGAACCCATTTTATTATACTAAAAAAGTTCAGTTAAAAACAAACAAGCCCATATCTAATAATGATGCAATAGTAGTGAGTTTCCTGTATCTGCAGCAGTGTGGACAAGATGACCTCTGACGTCATTTTAACTCTTGAGTTCAAAGTTGTACAGTTTTGTTTGCCACTCTGAGCAACCTATCCTAAGGTTAAAAATATCCGATGGTAGAAACTGCAAGTACTGTTCCATGTTGCTTGTCAACTTACATGCTTTTTGGCAGTTACCTTCATGCAAAATTTGAATTGTACAGTCAAAAGAGTTGCAGCAGATAATATGAAGCATGGCAGGATCTTAGTTAAAGGCTTTATTGTTTCTTTGAGGCACATTTTACAGCATGCATATCTATCGGTGCCTCTTCCGAAGGTTAAATAAGAAGCCTGAATTGCATTGGAAGCAAACGTAGGCATTTACACTGTGCAGGTGTGTGATGTACATTCCCTGCATGCATTCACTTATTTAGGGTTGCCATGTTTCAAAACCTGAAAATCTGGACACAAGAGATGTCAAACTTTCTTTTGGCAAAATCTCAAAAAACAAAGTTTTGAGCTATTTTTAAGGAACATCACCCAAAACGAAACCGACGACATGTGTTGCCATACGGCCGGATTTTCCTGGATGTTTTTAGCAATTTCCGCCCAGACACTGTTTCCGGCAGCCGAATCCTGGCTATATCCGGGAAATTCTGGATGTATGGCAACCCTAACTTATTTTACAAATCCATATGTTGCTCTTTCCACCCCACTCCCCTGCCAATCTTATGTTGGTTCTTCTGTTGTAGCAGCTGTGAGGAATGCTATCACTGTGGAATTGTAAGGAACAGCAGTCATTTTGCTAGTCATTTCTTATTGTTCGATTGAATCTCATTGGTTTTGAGATGGTGATAAAACGTCTCTGGAATCAGTTATCATTTCCCCACCCCCAGGCATTTCCCAAAAGGAACCCATGATTAAAGAACATGAAAGTATTGGGGGAGGGGAGCCATTTGTTAGCAATACCCAATTTTACTCATACTTGGAGTAGGCCTCTTGAAATCAATGGGCTTATTCTGAGTATGACTAAATCTGGATAATCAGCCTATGTTTGCAAAGTGAAAACTGCAAATACAGTGGTGCCCCGCAAGACGAATGCCTCGCAAGACGGAAAACCCGCTAGACGAAAGGGTTTTCCGTTTTTGAGTTGCTTCGCAAGACGAATTTCCCTATGGGCTTGCTTTGCAAGACGAAAATGTCTTGCGAGTCTTGCCATTTTTTTCCCGCTTCCCCCCCCCTTTTTTCTAAGCCGCTAATAGCCACTAAGCCGCTAATAGCCTTTTAGCAGCTCAGCCACTAAGCCTTTAATAGCCGCTAAGCCGCTAAACCGCTAATAGCGCTAATCCGCTAAGCCGCTAATGGGGTTGCTTCGCAAGACGAAAAAACCGCTAGACAAAGAGAATCGCGGAACGGATTCTTTTCGTCTTGCGAGGCACCACTGTATATATCAGGCGCAGCATACACACAAATACAACAACAACAGTGTTTGTGACAAGGTGCTCCAGGGCAAGGAGGAGTGATTTCACTTTTAATTATCTTCATATTCTCTTTTCTAGTTTCTTGATAATGCTTATCTGG